CGAGTTCACAGAGGCAGTTGAAAGAGCTAGAATCAGTGTGACAGCAAGGCATTGGGCGTGGGCAGTGAGGCAGTGGCTATGTTCAGGGTGTGTCTCCTCTGGGCTTTGTGGCTTCTTGCGTGCGTCTCTGAGAGCTATGTCCACCTGTGCACACATCCTGTGCCGTCATTCAATATCCCCTTTTCATAGGAAAGGCATTGATGATGCTTCCCAGACGAAGGCGAAGAGTGAGTCTGTTAATGGAACCAAAATGGAACCACTAAGTGCATTTCCCCGAGGTCATGTAAAGAGGACGCGGTGTGACTTATTCATCCCTTTCAGCCAACCACGATGTGGACCCCCATACCTTCCCATTGTGTTCATTGCATTTGTTTTTTGGCCCACACGTCAACGGAGACTTATAACTCTAAGCATCTTATGTGTTCTCACTGATTACACGACAGAGTAGATTTCGGTGGACTCTGAATTAGGAAGTGCTTTTGCAATAACACGAAACTCTCTAGACTATAGATTTGGGGCGGTTCAAAGAATGTTCCATTCGCTTCCAAAATTTCAGTGTCGACAATTGAGTGTTTGTTCCAGGGGACCTCTGCTGCAGCTGGAGATGGGCAACATGGCAGAACACGGAGTTGAGTTGACGTTAGAACACTGTTGCTATAAGAAGTGATGCCTCAAGAGACAGACAGTCTTGGCTAGGTAGTAGCGTGTGTGTTTATATGTTCCAAAGACTATACTCTTTTGAAGGCACTGGATTTCATATTAATCATCATATAGGCAGGGAAGAAGGGTAGAATTCAAGAAAAAAGCAGTCCACTCTCCATTACAGTTCGTTGTCCTTGGAGAAGATCCCAAGGACATATGTAGCACTTCAGTCGGCCCACCTGTAGAGGGTGATGATGAATCTCTTCATCAAGACAGTATAAATACTTCCCTCTCCCCAAATAAAAGGTTCCATATTAGGCATCATTTTGTGGTGTTTTCTGAGTCGTCAGATAGCATCGTGCGATAATAGTTTGATCGTCATAAGAACGGTGGCAAACTCTTGGACCTTGTGTTTCCCCCCTCAGGAATGCCGAGACGCCCTTCCTGCTGGTCATGTCTTATATTCAAGTCCACACGGCCCTCTTCACGTCCAAGGACTTTGCCGGGAAAAGCCGGCACGGCATTTATGGGGATGCCGTCGAGGAAATGGACTGGAGCGTGGGTATGTGTGTGTTTATCTTCAATATGTGGTTCACCTGTGGCCGTGTCTTTGCCTCCTTGGAGCTGATAGCCTGCGAATGCCCACTCATGTGCCAGCACTAATTCTGAAAGTTACACAGCACGTGAGAAGTACATTCAGCCCTGGGGTTATGATTGTGGGGCCCCATGAACTCATTGCCCGGGCAGTTTGGGTCTCTGGGTCGGCCATCCAAGAATGAACGGAAAGAGGGGCCAAAGTGTTAGCCGTTCTCATCACTTATTCTATTAGCAGTCAACTATGAGCCATACCTTGTGTTTAGCCAAGTTAGGGAAGTGGTGGGTTTGGGGTTCAGAATGCCGGCGGCCGGGGACAGACCTGACGAGTCTCCCATGGGGTCTTGTGTAAATGCTGTTACCGTCACTGCCACAAGCCACCGTCTCCCCGTTCTAGAGCTTCTGTTCATTTTGCTGCATCTCTCAGGACGGCAGAGTTCCTTGTGCCCTGTGTCCCTTCTTCTTCCTAAGTGAATGATCCCATTTCTGAGAAATGGGACATTTTTCAGAGTCGCTGGGAAGACTTCTTACGGAGGCTTTCTTCCAGAAACATGGCTCGAACCTCCATGTGAGAACCACGACCATGGTTCCTCTGATTTTCTTTGGCACAGCTAAGCAGCCTTGCAAACAAGATTATGTGGGCTAAGCCAAAAGGCATGTGAAACCAGTGGCTTTGAACGTCTCATTCACTTCCTGTCACCTCTAGGGACCTTGTCTTCTGTGGACATGGCTCAGTCCATCTGGACAAAATTGCCCAAACGCCGTCAAGTCAACCACCTTGCTTAAGACTTTTGCATATTTGCTTCCCTTTCCTTTTTACGCCCTTTCTCATTCTTTCTTTTTTCTCTTTTTTGTGCACCGAATTGATAGTTTTTAACTTTTTAATCTTGATATTATGGAATTATGTGAGTACTGCTTTGTAGTTTTTGTTGGTAGTGGTTTGTTTTAAGCAGTAAATTGAATGTGATTATGGCCGCCTGCTGTGGTGTTTACCAGAACAAGTTCTGTTTAGTTTCATTTTGCTTTGTTCAAATCTTGGAAGGAGCCGTCTTAAGAACCAATCTGGCTTCTATCTCTTCCTTTATCTCTGTTCACTTGAGAGATATCTTAAATCTCTAGGCTTAAAGTCTGTCATCTTCTCATGAAGAATTCAGATGAGGAGAGTTCTATGTTGTTGTTATTATTATTATTTAAAGTTTTATTGGGGAGCTGGGGAAGGGGAACAGCGGTGGGGAATTGGGGAAAGGGGAACAGACAAGTTGCTGTCCTTTTGTTCTTCAGTCTAGTTGTGGAGTATGTCGCTTCACTGGTCCATGTTGGTATTATCATTGCGCCCTTTCCGGGTGAGGCAGTCGCTCGCCGGCCATTGGATGGCCACTCACGGTAGCTCACATAAGCCCACTGCAGCCCCACTGCAGCCTACGCCATCGCCAGCGACTCACGGCACCCCAGCTCCAGGTCGAGCTGTTGTTCACCATCTTAGCTGTAGAGGGCGCAGCGTCACTGGCCCTCATGTGGGATCTGAACCGGGGC